GAGAGAGGCAGGGAGCAGGTCCAGCCCTGCCCCTGATGCCTGGAGCTCCAAGCACCGCTTGGTCCAAGGGCTGCAATGCAGCAGCCCCAAACGCCGTCCCCAAAGCCTCAGTGCTCTGTCCTGCTCTGGTCAGGGGGCAAAGCACATCTGCTCTGATCAGGGTCTGCTGCTGCTGCAGTAACTAGACTGGTAAACATTTGTAGGGTAATTTCGAGCAAGTTGACACACAAATTATGAAAATACAGGCAGAAGTCCCTGGGAGGGACCTTTCTGAGCTGATACACCCCCTCAACGCTATCACATGCAATCGTGTTGCATATTCCAGGTGTAACGTATGAATGCATGAAGTCTCCACCTCTTTTCCCCACTCCCGTACAAAGAGCATCAAGGAACTGGTCAGGGTCCAGCAGGAAGCCTCACACCGTCTTACCAGCTTTTCACAACACTTACACAACCCCCCCCCCACCCGCAGTGGCTGGTTGGTGCTCATGGAACAAGGGGACTGCTTTTACGTTTTTTCCCTCTTCCTCGCGCGTGTCGCTGTACAACAAGCGGGAAGTGCGTTCGTGTGCGCGGCCGGGAATCAAATCCAGCTGCCCACGTGATGGACTAGATAGATAAAGGAAAACTTCCCGCTAGTCAAGCCCAGCAGGATTGCCCAGCCCTCTGATTCCAGCACAGAATCCTCCAGCCCCACAGCGGGGATCACACAAAGCGCCGACACTCCAGCAGCCGCCGGAGCTCTGCCTTTTTGCAGGATTTAGTGTGTCAAAGGTGCAATTCTTGCCAAAGGGGAGAAGGGTCACCCAGGCGCCCGCGCAACACTTAAGTCCCACTAAGCACAGCTGATGCCTTAAACACCGCCTAAACCTCGCGCCTGCCCTCTGCGGCGCCTGCTGTCAGCATCCTCCTGCTCGTGGAGGGGTTTAGAGGAGGTTTTTGAGGAGTAACGGTGCTTTTTTGTCCCTGCTCTCCCCAGCGCTCCTTCTGCAGCGCCATGGCCGATGAGATCCGGCTGTCGCTCACCTGCCAGC